CTTAAAACGCATCGAATCCGGGACAAACTCTAAAAATACCCTCAAAACTCTCACAGAATGTACCGTGCCCATTGGTGTGCATGGTTTAAATAAGAAATTTACGTTAATTTCGGGAGCTATAAGAAAAAATCGTACTGTTTTGTGTTCTTTGGTATCTTACCGGTATCCCGTTTGTTGGATTTTAATTGCATACACTTAGTCTTAGATGGGTTGACGTACAAATAGATTTTTTGGCATGATGTTTCAACCCTAGTGAGTACGTTTTTTGCCAAGGATATTCAGTTTTCCAGTAAAGCTATATTATCGCCAAAATCAAGGTCTGTTAGGGTTTCGGTAGGGTGTCGTCGGCTTCGCGGGTGACGGAGGGTAAGTCCATCTCCGTCGGCTATAGGAGACCGTAATGCGTAGTCGAGGCATATGACAAAGATGGTGGGAGCCAAAGGGTCCCCCTGAAGGACGCCAGTATTGATGCTGAATGCATCTGTTTCTCATTCAGGAGTTATCACCACAGCTGTGGTGCTTCGTGCATGACCCGAATCGCATCTACAACGTCATGCGGATCCCGTATGCTTCTAAAAATTGAAACATTTTGTGACGATTTATGGAAGAAAAAGCTTTCAGGAAGTCAACGAAAACCAGCACGGCTACTTTGTCAAAGTTCTTCAACTCCACAATGCGCCTAAAGGCAAAAATGCGGGAGGTAGTTGATCGCCCTTGACGGAAGCCATTCTTGTTTGTACGTAACACTTCTGTATCTGTATCTGTATAGCCGGTATAACCGCCTTTCGTCGTAACACACCAGCTATGCAGGCACGCGGCGCGGCGGCAGCTGGCTATATTACACCGATCGACTTGTTACACCTAACCCTTGAACTTCTAGCTCTAGACATTGTTTAAAGCTATCTATTGACAATACCCCTACTGTACTTGGTGACAGTGAGTTCCACTCTGCGATAGTTCTAGGAAAGAATGGATTCTTGAACACCTCAATCCTTGGTTTATAACTCTGGTACTTGAATGCGTGGCTATTTCTTGTTCTCTTCTGGGCTGGTATTAGGTACTTAGTAGTTGGGACATCCACCAGTTTATTAGTCATTTTTTACATCATGCATAGTCTAGACATCTTTCTTCTGTCTTCCAGTGAGGTCCACTGTAGGTTTCTTTTCATTTCCGTGACACTAGCACCTCTTACATAGTTGTTCATACAGAATCTTGCAGCTTGATTCTGTACCCTTTCCAATTTGTCTTTGTCTTTCTTTGTATATGGATCCCATACTGTCGCAGCGTATTCTAGGTTCGGTCTTACAAGTGACGTGTATGCAAGTGATTTTACTCTAGTTGGACATGCCCACAGATTACGTTTGATCACTCCCAATGTCTGTTTCGCCTTAGTTGTGATATTATTAACATGTGCACCCCACTTCAGTCCGCTTGTCAGCGTGACGCCCAGATACGGATGGATTTTTGTGGTTGCTAAAGCCTGACCACAAAACTAGTTGCTAGTTGCATGTGGTGTTCGTTTGTTTGTTATGTGCATAATGTAGCATTTTTCGGGATTAAACTGCATGAGCCATTTGCTTTGCCATTCTTCCAGGGTGTTCAGGTCTTTTTGGAGAAGTTCACTTGATCAATGACAGGACGAATTTTGTTAAGAAGGCAATGGTTGTAGATCTTAGATGCAATTTGTGACAAGGAAATACCCCCTGTAGTTATCTGGTTGACGCAAATTCCTTTCTTTGGGATAGGGATATACGAGCATTAGATAATCTGGGCTAAAGTGGAATCTAAAGCTTTTCCTGAAATAGCACTCCTCCCTAATTACAGTACCCAAGCGAGAGGTCAAGCAAAGTAAAGCAAGTAATATCTCAATAACTAGAATTCCACGATCTCATACCTTCGCCAAATGATGTTAATCTTTATGACTCACAAATTATAGATTAATCCCCCTGATTATGCAAATAGGATCCTCATTTCCATTAACAAAGAATGCCATTTTAGCATTTCCTCATAAATTATGCAAATGTGATTCTAAT